CGGGGAACCCCAGAGCTAGTTAAGCTAGTACAGCCCTCCTTCCGCCCTCGGTCCATGTCAGAACCTCTCTGAATGGCCTCCTCCATCCATGAGGCTGAACAGGTGCTTGCTCACCTCCCATGATGGGGGCCGATAACCTCCTGAGCCACAGCACCCATCGCTGGACTACAGGGACAGCTGAGAGGGCTTCCTTTTCTTGGCCACAGTACACATCCTCATGATTTCCAACTACTTATATGAACCAAGCAACCTGAAAATAACTCAAAGAAATCATTTGCCCCCATACTGTATCCGTACTATTTAGAACAGTATTTTCTTCTTAAAGGAATCATTCACAAAACAGGAAACTACCTATAAGAAGTAGCCTGGTGAAGCAGTGAGGGCTGTGCACATTCCCTATAGAAGTGTGGATTTACCTGGAATGAGAAGTGTGCAAAGGCTAATAAAATGGGGACTTTTAAGAAACCCTCACATTTATTTTATAAAAGAGCACCTCCACACCAGTCGTCTCATTTGGTTCTCAACACCACTCCACGATGCTGAATCCTTTACTAATGAGGAAACAGACTCAGAGAGGTGAAAGGATGTGTCCAAGTCCTGCCACTTGCTAGTTAATCTGAGCCTTAAGCTCAGGCTTCTGACCACAGACAGCCCTACCCCCACTGCACTGCCCATGCGTCAGTATGCTTTGTAAATGCTACCCTTTCCCAGCTTATGGGATAAATACGAAAACAGTCTATGGCCCAAACAGAGCTCAGTCAAATAAAGCAGGAAAGTAAGAAAATTATTTTAAAGCATTACAATAAAGACTGAAATCAAAGGAAAGAACATACTACGTTAGGAAAATGGAGAAAAGAGTGACAAATTACGTGGCAGAATTGAAGAATAGTTCATGGAAAAAGAAGTTTATATTGAATTTTGACATTTAACTCTATTTTGTGAGCAGAGATAAACAAAATGAATTCCAAACCAACAATCAAAACTCCAGAACAACAACAAAGAAAGATACGTAGGTAGAAGGCCACGTAGCATTAGGGGGTTAGAGTTTGGAGACGAGGAAGAGGTGACACCAAGAAGCAGTAACACTGGATGCCACTACAAACAGGGTGCCATGGGATAGCAAGAATGAGACGGAGTCAGGGTGCGTGAGGGCAACAAATATATCCAAGAAAAATATTATTCGGTTTAGTAACATCATTCTGACAACGCAGAATGAATAAATTGTGGAGTCAGAAATTGAGAAGGGCTAGAAATTTATGAGGTTGTTGCGGTATCACTGGAAAGCAAAAGGGAAGAAAGAGTTCATCTCTGCATGAATAAGTACCCAAACTGTGGTGTGGACACATAGCAGAGCACAGTACTAAAGGAATGAGATTTTAATACATACTATAAAATAGAGGAGCCCAGGAAATCTCTACTCACTGAAATAAGACAGACTCAGAAGGACTGATATTGTATGATTCCACTTGCAGGAGGTGCCTAGAGTAGACAAATTCAGAGACAAAAAAAAATAGGATGGAATTTATTGGAGGGTAGAGAGAAGTGGAGAGGTATTGTTTAGTGGTACAGAGTTCATGTTGAGAAAGATGGACAGAATTGAGTAGAAATAGTATTGGTGGAGGTACCTGCAATCAGGTGTAAGGAAGGTTAATTCTATTTTCATCGTAAGTTATACCACACTATTTGCTGCTGAGGCTATATTATTTTGATTTTTAAATTCATTCATTTATTTATTGTGCTTTGATTAAACCCAGGGTCTTCACTGAGCTATGTTCTCAGCACTTTATAGTTTGTTTGTTTGTTTGTTTACTTTGAGACAGGTTGTAATTAAGTCATTAAATTACCCAGGCTGGGCTTGAGCTTGAGGTCCTCCCAACTCAGCCTCCCAGCCTGCTGGGGTTACAGACATATGCCACCATGCTGGATTGAGTTTTAAATAGTAGTACAATTATAAAACATTACATGGCACTCCATTGATATGTACAACTTTTATGCTTTATGTATCAGTTAAAATAATGTAAAAAATAAAATCTAAAATAAAAAATATTAGTAGTGAAAAATGAGGGATCTAACTGAATTTAAAAGGCATTTCTGGAGTAAAATGTATCGACTCTATGATCCTAGGGGAAACAGTGAGGACCTCAAAGCAGTAGTTTAATGCATTGATGTGCAGAACATAGATTTGGTCTTGAAGAGAAGACAAAAATGATGGGTTCCGATCTGAGCACTTTGATTTGGAGCTACCTCTGGGATATCCCATGGGCACTGCCAAGTAGTCACTTCCATCTGTAGCCTGGTGAAGCAATCAGGGCTGTAAATCTTCCTTATAAATCCCTCTTGGGAAAAGCATGACTTACTTTGTAGACTTACCATTAGATCTTTGGCTGTGTGTTAGGAGGGAAGGTGATGTTCCCCAGTGCTGTAGGCTATTTGGGGAATAGTGGGACTTTGTTTTTTGGGGGAAATTAAGAGTTAGTGTGGCTGGAGCCTCCCTCAGTCCAGCCATGCTTCTGTGAATAGGTTTGGATCACATATGTTAAACCAGTGTTGGGCGTGAGGGGTAGAGGTGAGGGCCATGAGATGGGTCCTCAAGAAAAGACCTGCTGGTCTAGCTTCTGGCCATTCTGTGCCAAGGCAGCCTTCACTGACAGCCTCAGCTGCAGAGCCTCCAGTGTCGAAGGTTCCCACTGGGACGGTGGCCCATGTCCACTGACTAATAGGTAGAAAGGCACTGACACCTGCCGCTTCATAGGAGAACTCTGCTGGCCACTTTAGTACCAGAGCCCCCATAGGTGTAGTCAGGCCCACTATCTGGCCTCACCTTCTCCCTCTACCCCATCCCTTGTCCCTCCACCCCACTGGTATGGATCCAAGGACATACACTAACCAGCACCCTGCCCACCAGAGCCTATGATGGAGGTAGGGGCTGAAATATCTAAACAGCTCCTCAAGCTCCTCCAACTTGGCCTATTTGTAATACTTCCTCTAATCTCAAGATAGGTTTACTAGATCTTTGAAGACCACTCCATTTTTAGCATGTACTGGGCAGGAACTAATGGCT